TAGTCCCCAAAATGTCCAATTCAAAGTCCTTAGCAATTGAACCCAATTAGTGAAACACTTAGGCAAATTACACAATTTCGGTACTGTATGAACAGTACCAGGGCAGGACACATTTTGCCCACTAAACCACAATTAAACACCCTCATTAGGCTCTAGTCTCAAACCCTAATCACCCAACAACCAAATACACTTAATTAAGCTTCAAATAAGCCTAATTAGCCCCTAAAATGTCCAATTCCAAGTCATTAGCACTTGAACTTAATTAGTACAAAACTTAGACAAAAATGCACAATTTCGGTACTCAATGAACAGTACCAGAACAGGGGGCTGTTTAGGCCTTAATCCACCATTAAACTATCTCATTAGGTCCTAATGACCTATACAAAACACCCCACACACAATTAAGCCTAATTAAACCCCAATTAGGCCTAATTAACCCTTAAAAATGCACAATTAAACTAATTAGGGGTTTGTACTCGCCTAAAATCGACTCGAGGCGACGGGAGCGGGCGGTCGATTACCGACACGCGGTGAGAATCGACAGCGGCGCTCCGGGGGCAAGCCGGCGGTCACGGCGGCGCCGGTGTGGCTCACGGTCACCTCGGCCAAAACAGGGGAGGCTGCTGGGCTTGAGAGCTAAGGACAGTAGAGAGAGAGAGAGACGGTGAGGGCAAGTGGTCGACGAGGGCGGCGTACGGGCGGAGGACGGCGGCGCGGCGCCGGCGGGGTGATGACCGGCGGTGGCCCTCACGGTTCCGCCTGGAACAGCAGCAGGTGTGGACGGCGATTAAGGGGGGTGAGGGAGGTCGATGGAGGCTGGGGTGACTTCCAGTGGCGGCGTGTGGTGACTGGCGGCCAGCAGCTCCGACGGCGTGGCTGTTTCCGGCGTGAACAGTGCCGGTTGTGCAGCACGGCAGAGGAACGGCGAGGAGGGGAGGACGACCGTGAAGGCTGGTCTGGGAGAGAGAACGTGAGCTGAGGGAGACTGAGGAGAGAGAAGAAGCAGGTCAAATGTGGTCAAACTTGGGTGAGTGGAATCCATTTGTCAAAAATCCAAGGATTTGGACAATTTGCCCTTTAATCCAATAGCCTAGGCTCATTCTCCTCCAATAATGCAAGGGTATAATGGTCAAATACCCCTAACCAAGGCTGACCAGGTCTGGTTTGGGCTTCTTAACCTTAGTTAGTCCCCAAAATTTATCCAAAATTCGGAATAAATTAAAATGGCCTAGGGGCATTTTCGTAATTCTCCGATCCCGGACTGAAATTCCAATCTTTGTCCATACCGGTCCTATATATTCACGGTAGACATAATATGGTGTCGGATCCTTAAAATTCATCCTTTAAGCCCTCGAAAATCAGTCCAAAAGTTTGGAGAGGCAAAACCGTAAATTCTCATTTTTCTCCCACCAAACGACGTCGGATTAATTCCGATCCTTCACGGAACTTTCTCGCCATAAAATACTGGTTCCAAAAACCCAACTCGCGTCCCGAACCAGTCATCACAGCCCCGTGAACAATAATTCACAGCTTGTGAACAGTGATTCGCAGCATATGAACAGTAATTCGCAGCCCCTATTAATCCGAATTTCCAATAAATATTATCCAATTTAATTCCTAAGGCCCACCATAAAATTTTCACTCCCCATTCACGTAATTCCGAACCTAATTCCATACTGATTTTCCCAAAATCGCCCGTCGATATCCGAAGTCCAAAATTGTGTTTAGAGCGCGACTTACTAAAATCAAACGAGCATTAACATATACTTCATTGGTCCCGGTAACGGGTCAAAATTCAGGATGTTACATACAGGCTCTCCCATACAAAGCTTCAAATGGAGCCATCTGAATACTTTTCTAAAAGCTATTCTTGTATGCAAACTCCACTAAAGGTAGCTTCTCGTCCCAGTTGCCTTTGAAGTCAATAACGCAAGCCCGTAACATATGCTCCAATATTTGTATCACCCGTTCTGACTGTCCATTCGTCTGAGTATGAAACGCAGTACTATATTGAAGCTTAGTCCCCAGAGCCACCTGGAGACTTTTCTAGAAGTTTGAGGTGAATCTTGGATCTCGATTTGACGTGATAGTCATAGGTAATCCATGCAATCACACTATTTGCTTAACATATAAATCAGCATACTTCTCAAGTGAATAGTCTATTTGTACTGCTAGAAAATGAGCAGACTTAATCAAATGATCTATAATCACCTAGATGGAATCGTGACCACTTGATGTCCTTGGTAAACCTTGCACGAAATCCATTGTTATATGCTTCCATTTACATTCGGGAATTTCTAAAGGTTTCAGCAATTCAACTGGTTTACGATGCTTTGCCTTGACTTGTTGACACGTCAAACACCTAGCAACATGTTTGGCTATATCCAACTTCATTCCATTCCACCAATAATGTTGATAAAGATTATGGTACATCTTCGTATTCCAAGGGTGAATACTATAATTACTCCGATGGGCCTCCGTCAAAATTTCCTGCTTTAATTCCTCATTGTTAGGCACGCATATGCGTCCATAGAATTTCACGACTCCTTCATCCGTTACGTGAAATTCTGACTTTTTTCCTTTCGCGATTTCTTCCCAGACCTTTGAGATTCCGAGGTTCGTTTGCCGTAGTGCTTTAATTCTTTGTATAATTATTGGTTCAATTCTCAGAGTAGCCAATACACTAGAAAGATCATCAATTTCAAGTTTGAAGTCAGATTATGAAGTCTTCTCAAGTAAACACCATTCTTTGACCATTAGACTAGCTAAAGTCAAAGTAGACTTCCCACTAAGAGCATCTGCCACTTTATTGGCTTTCCCTAGATGGTATAAGATTTCACAATCGTAATCCTTTAATAACTCCATCCACCTTCTCTATCTCATGTTTAACTCCTTCTGAGAAAACAAACACTTCAGACTCTTATGATCTGTATAAGTTTCAAACTTTCCTCCATATAGATAATGTCTCTAAATCTTCAGTGCAAAAGCAATTGCCACCAATTCTAAGTTATGTGTCGGATAATTCAACTCATACAGTTTTAGTTGTCTTGATAGATAAGCGATGACCTTCCCGTGTTGCAGCAAAATGCACCCAAGGCCCTTGTGGGATGCGTCGCTATACACAACAAATTCTTCCGATCCATATGGTATTGTTAGAATTGGGGCGGTAGTCAATTTTCTCTTAAGCTCTTGAAAACTTCGTTCACACTCGTCGCTCCATTCAAATCTCATGTCCTTCCTCGTCAATTGAGTCAATGGACCAGCCAGACGTGAAAATCCTTCTACGAATCTCCGATAGTAACCGGCAAGTCCTAAGAAACTTCGAATCTCTGTTACTGTCATGGGTCTAGGCCAATTGACTATTGCTTCAACTTTAGCTGGGTCGACTCTTATACCTTCTCTAGTTATTATGTGACCCAGAAATGCTACTTGATCTAACTAGAACTCACACTTACTAAACTTCGCATACAACTTATGCTCTCTCAGAGTCTGAAGTGTAACCCTTAGGTGTTATTCATGCTATTCTGGTCCTTTCGAGTGTATTATAATATCATCAATGAAAACTATCACGAACTGATCCAAATAGGGTTTAAACACTCTATTCATTAAATCCATGAATACAGCTGGTGCGTTAGTCAATCCGAATGGCATGACCAAGAACTCGTAATGTCCATATCGCGTCCTGAACGCCGTCTTAGGAATGTCTTCCTTCTTAATCCTGAGCTGATGATAACATGATCTTAAGTTAATCTTTGAAAATACGAAGGTCCCCTGTAATTGGTCAAATAGGTTAGCAATCCTAGGCAAAGGATACTTGTTCTTGATCGTGATCTAATTCAGTTGCCTATAGTCGATGCAAAGACGCATCGATCCATCCTTCTTCTTTACAAATAAAACAGGTGTGCCCCATGGTGATGCACTTTGCCGAATAAATCATCTATCAAGCAATTCTTGTAATTGTACTTTTAACTCCTTCAGCTCTTTGAACGCCATCCTATAAGGGGCTTTCGAAATGGGCTCTGCTCCTAGGGCCAATTCTATAACAAATTCAACTTCTCGTTCCGGTGGTATTCCTGGCAACTCTTCAGGAAATACATCCGAAAATTCTTGGACCACAGGAATTTCCTCAAGTTGTAACTCCTTCTTAATTTGATCCTTAACCATTGCTAAGTATCCTCGACAACAATTATTGAGGAGTTGGTGTGCCTCGAGTGTTGAGATAAGTGGCATAGAAGAATTCATTCCATTCCCGACAAATTCAAAACAAGGATGATATGGTGGGTTAAATTGAAGCACCTTCTCATAACAATCTACATTGGCCCATTGCTTACTAAGCTTATCCATCCCTACGATAACATAAAAGTCGTACATAACTAAAACTACCAGATCTATCCTCTGATCCACTCCATCTGTAGAGATCTTACAATCCCTACATGTCAATGTTGATAATATCATATCCTTTAGAGGTGTAGAGACACTCAAAGGCACTTCAAGCAATTCAGACTTCAATCCAACTAATCGCATAAATCTTGCAGACACAAAGGAATGTGTAGCACCCGTATCAAATAATGCGTATGCCTGTTGATCACGCAAGGAAAGCTTACTTGAAATAACGGTCTTGGAAGCTTCCGCTTCCTCCTGAGTGATCGCATACACTTTTCCTTGCATCAGGGGCCTTTGCAAAATTCTTGGTGGTGGTACTCCGCCCTCAGTTGGTTGTTGTAGTTGCTGCGCTGGCGGTGCGCTAGGTTGTGGTCCCCTTTGAGGGCAATCTTTAACAACATGACCGGGTTGTCCACACCCAAAACACCACTTTAGCATCGGATACGGTGCATTCCCGTGTTGTCTCCCACACTGGTGGTAGTTTCCATTTAGAAATGTCCTTCGCTCCATCGACTGATTATTCCACGATCTCATGTTATTGCATCTCTTATCGGGAACAAAAGAAGATTTTCCAAACTGGGGGGCCTTTTTCCTAATCTCACGTTATCGCATGTGGCTTAATGACTTGCCTTACCCTGTCCCTTGGCCTCTAGTTCTCTTTTCATGAACTCTTGTTCGATAAGTTGGGCATGCCTGTAAAGTACATTATAGTCTCTTATGTAAAAGGGTACTAACTGCCTCCTGATATCAGTCTTTAGCCCATTCAAAAATCTCGCGGCTTTATCCTCCCTATTTTCCACCATGTGAGGCGTAAACCTAGAGAGTTCAGAAAACTTAGTCTCGTACTGATCCACCATCATATTATTCTGACATAGCTGTATGAACTTTGCTATTTTCTGATCTTTAGCACATTCAGAAAAATACTTCTCATAAAATGCCTCCATAAAATTCTCCCAAGTTATTTCCGTACCTACAGGAAACATTGTTTCTTTCGATGCTCTCCACCAGTGGTCCGCATTTCCTTCCGATTGATACTCAGCCAAGAGTATCTTATCAGCATCGGTGCAAGTCAATAGGTTGAATATTTTCTCCAAACTATGTATCCACCTTTCGGCCTCGTTGGGGTCTCCCACTCCAGCAAACTTACTTGGTTTCAATTTCAGAAATTGTTTAATGAGTCCTTGTATGCGACGATCACCATTTCCTGCAGCTGCTTGTTGTTGGACTTGTTGCTTAAACAATGCCCCTACATTGGACAAAGCCTCGAGGATTCCATCCACTCGAGGATCCCTTCCAAGTGCAGAACCAAAAGATGATGCACCATTCCTCCTCATCTTGTTTTACTAGTTTTCTGCACATTGATCAACAATTACTTCAGATGATCAATCGTCACATTATCTAATAAGTAACAAACGTTACTGACATCACATAAGTAACCATAATAACTTGTATCTCCCTAACGCAAAACTAACAAACACATCCTAGTCTGCTCATCGCTAATGCACCTTATTACTTCCATATAACCAACCTTATCTCTCCAATGTAAGCTTCACCTTATCACTCCAATGTAAACCTATGCTCTGATACCATACAAAGAGGTTGTGGCATCCCAGTCACGGCCCTTCCTATGAGTCACTATAACCTTTTGCGCGTAAAAGAATTCACGCGCGAAAGATGCTTCTCAATAAGAACAATATTTATAACATGAATTATAAATAAGGAAAAAGTCGACTACTAAAAAAAATGACAGCACAAAAACTAAACTTCAAGCTTCTTCTTGTTTATAAACATGGGGTGATACAACAGTGAGTTTACATTTTGAGGGTTAACTGTGGGGCTACTCCTAACCCGGTCTATCTACATGCAACCCTCACTTTCGTCAACCAAAAAGATCACCCAACCAAATGACTTCATCCAAAATATCAGTCGTACTCCAAAAATGGTACTCTCCTGCCTATCGCTCCCGCATCACTCCACTCCACTATCCCCATCGTTAGCTCCATCCCCGTCGAAGTAGGGTAATGGTACTATCAGTCGTCCACCCACTTGGGCGAAAACCGCTACAAACCCCATGAGAATAGGGTCCACTGAGGACCCGATGTCGATAGTCAAAATCGAGATGCATCTCACGAACACCACATGTGGAACATCTGGGTCCTGGAACAATGTTAGATACGCTGAGAAATCTATAGGGACACCATAGCTAATAAAGGATGAGGCAGGGAGGATCGACATCTCAACTAGTCTGAAAAATTATTAACCACTACAAGGGTAAGCAATAGCTCAACAGTGAAATGTCTATCAACCTATACCAAACAAGAATAACATGCATATCAAGAGGCATATGTATGATAGTCTTCTATCTGGACTTACTAATCAGGCAAGATATACCCTATTGTTCCACATTAGTAATTATCTCAAGTGTTATACTTAACTCGGTATTTACAATCATCAACACGATTGAAACATGCACACACAATTTTCACACTTGCATGGGCACATTATCTCACTCCAAGTAACATACTCAATGCGCTCGCCGGTCACGCAAGGAGGAACACTCTCGTCTGGCAGAGTTCGGTGCGCATTCCGATCAGCCGCGGTGTATGCCAGAATTCTCAATGGCCCGCGTAGGCTTCGTGATATACTGACCACGGCATCCCGATCAAACTCCCTGGGCATCTAGGGTATTCTCATCCTAGGCATCGTAGTTGTCACATCCTCAATTTCAGTTCCTGGGAAAATGGCTATGGTTTAAGTTTGATGGTTTTCCAATCGGAACTAAATTGTTTTATCTTGTTTTGGAAAACCCAGTTTTGGATCCTTTGTACCCCTTCGTTTTGTTATTTTTGGGGAGACTTTTGTGATTAGAATTTCCGAATACTTCCTTCTTGAAAGTTGTTCCAAACATCTTGAAGTTTTACATACTTTAACTTCAGAATTTTTGGAGTTGATATGAGTGGTACGATGGCCTGATTTTCGGACCGTGTGAAACTGCCCAGAATGGGTATTTCGGTGATGTTCACCCATTCTTGATTTTCTACGAGCTTTTATAGGTCGATTTTGGAAAAGTTTCCTTCACAAAAGTTGTTGAGAACGTCCTTTTCTATAAATTGTATAAATTTGGGAATTTTCCGAGATGATTTGGATTCTGGACAGAGCATAATTTGAGAAACCAGAGTCCCGTTTCAGCGAACTGTTTTTAGTCTGTCTTTGAGCTACTAAAAATGGTGTTTACAGAAAGATTACGAATTTGTGTTCTTCACGAGAAATGTTTGGTAAAGTCTTGTTTATGACATATTCAAATTTAAGAATTTTCGGAGTCCATTTACTATATTTTCAAGCTCGATTTCGTGAACAGTGCAAAGCTGTTCGGTTTTATAAGATTTCAAAGATTTATCAATTTCTATTTGAGAACGTTGGAATCTCAACTTGATGTCTTTTGGTGATATTTAAGGACATTTCCGCGCCGAACCTCGGGTTGAATGAGATTATTATACGTGTTTTGTCGTAGAAAACCCTCGGAAATCAAGGAATTGATTATGATGCGGATTTACGACTTGAGTGTCGATTAGTTGTTATTGTGCAAACTGATGGTGCTGAGTCATTGTGAGCCGAACCGACATTTCTAGAAGACCGAAATAGGCTCCGTGTTTGGTTTGTTGGGAAGAAACTAGAAGATAAGGCTTTGTCATGGTCAAAGCTTCTCCTTCAAGCTTCCATCATTAAGTTTCATTAATGCCATTAAATGGCCCTTGACTTAGAAGCCCTATTTCATGATGACAAGCATTAATAACATTAGACTTTGGAGGTCCTATCATTATGGGACACAAGGCAAGGCCAAATGGCCTTGCCAAGGGAACCATCGTGAAGGCCATTCGGCCGTGAGGAAGGAAAAGAGAGAGAGAGAGAACCAATAGGGAAAGGATGAGTCTTAGCCTTCATCATTTAACCCATAAATGCTCATAAATGGTCTTATCTTTTGTGACATATGCCATGACTCAAGCAAGGCCATCATGACTATTGTGCACATTAATACTTGGCTTCTTCTCCAAGCCTATTTGTCTATAAGGAAGCAAGAAGCCTCACGTGAAGCCCCCCCCCTTCTCCTCTCTCACGACAACCTCACCATCATCTTCTTCTTCCTTTGTTTCTTGTTTTTTTCACTTTGGCCGAGAAGCTCACGCCCAAATCAACCCCGAACCGGCCCGTGTTCCTAGTCGTTCCCATCCAAGAACCACGGTTTGGCCTTGGTAGGCCTTGTCTTGGTCGGCCAAACAAGGAGGAAGCAACGAAAGAGCCCGAAATTTCCCGAGCTCACCCGTCTCGACCCCTGTTCCCTAGTTTTATTTTGTCGTTGAGTAAGTGAATTCCCTAATACCGGGAAAGGAGGTTGCGATACGTTGTAACATGGGTTTGTTGACCCGTTTCTTGGTTTCATGGTTGTTCGTTGTTTCTCATCTAATGATGTTCGCGTGTGATACTCACGTTTGATGTTTGTTTTGTTGGTTTCGTAGCATGACTTTGTTATTTGAAATGCCATTGATGCCAGTACGGTAAGAATCGACTTGTGTGAATGACGATTGTCTCGTCCTCGCTTGATATTAGTGTTTTCACTTGCTGAGTCTCCCTGACTCATCCCCCGTTGTTTCCCCTTTTTTAGGTCCGTAGGATGGCATCTCCCCCAGCCCGCGTTGGCAATCCCGTGGAGCAGCGAGCCGAAGTGCTCACCGTGATAGATGTCAGAGAAGACCGTGCCTATCGCCGAATCACGATGCTTGTGACGATTCGATGAGGGCCTAACGGACTTGGTGCCTCATCCGTGCGTAGGTTCAACGGTGCTTTGGCGGTACGGGCGGGCCAGCTCCGGGATAAAGCCACGGGTGGGATGTGAGATGGCCAGGCGGACGGGACCGGGGTGGAGGTGAAGAAGCGAGGAGCGAAAAGCCGTAGTGGGTATAGGATAACCCAAGCCGAGTTTTGTTACTCAGTCAGCTATGAAATATGTGTTGTCATGGCCCGAAGGGCTTGTTAAAACATGTTTGTATGCATTGTAAACATAAGGTTTGCTCATGATGTTGTTTGTCTTATTTCCGCTGTGTATATTGATTGTGATTGTCCCGTGATATGCTTCCGCCTGTGTGTAACGAAATATCATAATGAACGGGACATCGCATGAATGACCCCGAGGTAGGGGCGTTACAGTAGTCCACTGACCACGGCATCCCACATTCCCTGCAGCTTCTCGGGGCATCGTCGATCCATAAACCGACGGCATTCACCCAGCAAGTCACACACATAACCATTTCATGCAGCCTACGGTTTATCGACAATACTTGTTCTTTCTCAATATCATATCAAGACTATTAATACCTCATTGTTAGCTCAGAATGTATAGATTTTGTCTCCAGAAGACATTGAATCAAAATTCCAACGTTCTCATATAGGAAATGATGAATCTTTAAAATCTGGCAAAACTGGGCAGTTTTGCACTGTTCGAGAAATCCGACTTAAAAATATAGCAAATAAATTCCGAAAATTCTAAAATTTTAATATGTTGTAAACAAGACCTTAATAGAAATTTCCCATGAGAACACGAAATCTAGATCTTTCTATAAATACAAGTTTTTGTAGCTCAAAGACAGACTAAAATCAGTTCGCTGGAACATAATCCTTGCTTCTCAAAGTAAGCTCTTTTCAGAACATAATTCATCTCCCAAAATTCCCAAAATTAAACATGTTATAGAGAAAGAAGTTCTCAACAACTTTGGTGAAAGAAGTTTGTTCAAATTTAGCGCATAAAATTTTATAGAAAATTGAGAAAGTGTAAACCTCACCGAAATACCCATTCTGAGCAGTTTTACATGGTCCGAAAATGAGGTGATCGTCCAACCCAAATTAAGTCCTAAAATTCCAAAATTAAAGTATGTGAAACTTCAAGATGTTTGAATCAACTTAGAAGAAGGAAGTTTCTAAAAATTCGGCTCACAAAAACCTCCACAAAAATGACAAATAAAAGAGGTACAGGGAACCCAAATCTGGGTTTCAAAAACAAGTTCAAGAAATTGAGCCCGAATGAAAAATTACCAAATTTGTACCCAAGTTCGCAGCCAACCACTCGACTAACTCGCGGAATCATCCGAACTCACGGCCAGCACTCGGCCTTAACACCACTCCCAACCGATCACACTACGACACTCAAACGGCAACGTCGCCAAAATTCATCCATTAAATGCAATAAACAGCCAACTCACGTGACGACTAACCATTCGACACCCTAACGCCATTCATCCGAACTCAAGACTCACAAGTCGATATGCAAACAGTTCTTGGTCTA